CCCCCCAAAGGGGTCGCGAACCACTGCTGTAGAGGCTGTAGGTCTTCAGGGAGTCGCAGGGGTGGGCAGTAGAAATCTCCCAGGACAAAGTAGAGCACCCAGGCAGGGCAGGAAGCTGGAATCCCGGGAGGGGATGGAACTTGCTGCCTTTTTGGGAAGGGGTGGAGAGCGGGTGAAAGGGCGTGTAGCCCCACTTCACGAATGGGCCCCAGAGAAGGACTAGGCCCCTCCGGGGACACAGCAGCTCCGCAGGCTCAGTGGTCCTCCAGCGATTTAAGGAAGTCGTGGGTGCACGTCTGGGGCCTAGGGGACCATTGGGTTAGGGTGGCCCCTAAGTCTCCCCAGAAGGGAAGTGCCTCGCGGGGGAGGGGCGACCTCTTCCTGCTTTCTACCGCCCCCTTGCCTTGGCTTCCACAGCTGGCCGGGGGAGGGTCTGCGGCCTGGTGTCAAGGTTTCGCAGCTGTGGGCAACCAGCTAAGAAAGGGGAACTTGCAGGGTTGGGAGCTGCTGCCACGCCCACTTTGCGATGGGGTATAGGAGACTTGACTTTGACGAGGGTGGTCCAGAAAGGCCAGGCTCCCCACCCCCACCCCGCTAGCCACACAGCGAGAGTTGGCAGCCCCTGCCCAACTCCCGATGGGCTCTGTGGCCTGGGGTTGGGGAGGGGAGACGGGGGCTCCGGCGGGCTAAGGGCAGACCTAAGACCCTGCAGAACTGGGGGAAGGTCCTAAGACTGAGTGACACCCTAACTCGGGCAGCTTCTGGGTAAACTGGCAGAGAGCAGGTGACAACGGGCACTGGGCATCCTGTGACATGGGTTGTCTTCTCTAGACCTGAGGCGACAAGGGACTCCTGGGGTCTGGAGGGGCTCTCGGACCCCATCCCCAAACTCCTCCAGACCCAGGATTGGGAGTCCTGAGAGCACTGAGAGGGAACTCCCCCGCCTCTCAAAGGCAGGTCTCAACTGGGGGGACCTGCCACAAACTAGGGAGTGGATCCTGACTGCGCTCTGCAGGGGGCATGCCCAGACCCCGAGAGGGTCCCGGGTGTGGGGTATCCTAGCGGGGTGACCAGACCCTGGATCGTGGGTTCCCCCTATGGAGCGGTCACCCGCCTACCTAACTTGTAAGTCGAATGGTTCCCCGCTCTGGAGGAGAGGGGGGTCCTCAGAGGAGGGCGTCCCAGTCGAGGGGACCCTGATCATGGGGTGCAGCTCACCTCGAAGCAACAGCTGCCGCCGCCGCAGGTAAGTCTCAGCGGCCACAAAGTCGCTGGACACCGCGTTGACGCCCACGCTGCGGCCCTCG